TGACAGGCGTAAAGTCATTCAGTAGTAGTAATTTTTTTTCCGTTTAATGTTATCGCTTCAGCATATAAACGATCAAATGGAAAAGTCTATAAAATTCTCCGCATGCATGTATCAGATTTTTTATTACAATGATTCTTCATTGTTAATAAAAAAAATCAATAAAACCGGCAATAACACTTACGCAGTTTGGTTTGGAAATTGAAAAGAAAAAGATTCTAACTTGAGGAGCACATAATGCAATGCAATTGCGAGTTTTTAATTTATCGGCTTCGAAATTAATGCCGAAAGTTCGGAAAATGGTAATACCAAATTAATGTTACATTATTAACCTTTATATGTAAGTCGCCGGTCATATAAATTATTTCATTAACTCAATAATAATAAATTTGTACACGCAACTAAATAAACAGCGCTGAAAATTCAAGCTTTTATCAACGAATCGAGTATTGTTTATCATGCAAAATCAAATTTTCGTGAATCTTCAAAACGGACAGAAAATTTAGTGAATTTTTTCCTCTGAAATTGCATTCAAACTTTCATAATTAAAATTTTTCATGACGTTATGACATGTACAGAAATAAAAAATGTTAAGAAATATTTTTTAATTTAGTAAAATGATTCGCGATATTACTAAGAACATAACAAACACCTTTCACTATTTCTTCGGTTTTTCCTTCGTGTGCATTTAGTCGTGCGGTGAGTGCTCGAAACACTTAAGTCACAAACGCATTAGCAGATTACTCTGCAAATATCTCTGAAACATACCAATGTCCTGTATAATGAAAATTGCTTGGCATATAATTTCGTAATTGACACGACTCGAGATTTTTCCGTAAAGTCACTATTACGGGGATATTGATCAAATTATTCAAACGGTTCACATATTTTCTCAGGTTTAAAAATATTTTCTAAACATTTTTAAAAACCATGCAATACCTTGTATAAAAGAGTTCATAAACTGAACCGCATGACGCTGCCTTTTTCCATCTGAATTTATGGATCCCAGGAAAGTGTGCAGAATAAGTTATTGCAAACCTTTTGGACTCATATTCATTAACTTTTTACAGAGTTACTAATTAAAATCATAATGGCAGACTCGAAGTATAATAAACATTGACATTGTAATTCTGACAGTCGAGGCCGAATATAAATTGATGATTCCCTATAAAAATTTGAACTTATCAGTGAGCAAATTAATTGCTTTTATTCATGACGGGCGAATCTCGTAAAATGTTCCAGGTCTCCTTGTCGTCAAAGTATTGAAGCGAATCTTGCTGAGTTTTCGAGTGAATCAGAAGTACCTACTCGAGATTCGCGAGGATATGAAGCACTCTGACGTGCAGTACGTGTACGTGCCATCCCACCGAAGTTACCTAGATTTTGTACTGATGTCCTACCTTCTTTTTACCTTTGACATGGCCCTACCAAATATTGCCAGTGGAATGGATTTTTACAGAATGAAGGTTGTGGGTGAACTACTTCGTAAAACTGGAGCATTTTATCTCAGACGAAGTTTCACAGCTGATCAATTGTATAAGGAAATTTTCAAGGCTTATGTTGCATCTCTAGTAGAGAATAGCGACAGGGCTATTGAGTTTTTCATCGAGGGAACAAGGAGTAGGAGTCAAAAGAGCATAGCTCCGAAGTATGGTACGTCGAACTGTTTCGAGAATGAGTTTGGATGTTATTTTTTTTACAAGTGGTAATTCCTCAGACATTTGCGTAATTGATGACCAGGAAAAAGCTAACATAAACGATATCATTACCTTTCCTTCGTAGCATTAATTATTCAATCAGTAAGTCAATGCTACTCCGACAGATTAATAAATGAATTCAATATGCGTTGGAAAATCATTTCAAAGGACTTACTTTATTAAGAAATTTAGTTTTTACAAAAATATCCAGATTATGCCGATAATTGTCAATTTTCCGAATTAAATTATGGATTGGTAATTGGAAATTGGAACAATTAGTTGCTAACTAACTCAATCTGTTAGGTTTTGTTGCGGATTGAGTAAACTATGAAATTAATGATGATTATAATTTATGATTAATATTATCTGTCTTACGGTTTGTAATATTTCTAGGGCTTCTCGGTATGATTTTGGAAGCAGTGTTTCAAAGTCACGTGCCAGACATCCAGTTTGTACCAATAAGTATAACGTACGACAGACCATTGGAGGAGTCTCTATTCTCCTATGAACTCTTGGGAGTCCCAAA